CACGCACGCACGCACGCACACACACACACACACACACACACACACACACACACGCACGCACGCACGCACGCACGCACGCACACGCACAGACACACACACTGAAGAAAAGACTGGCATGTACTCCTCTTACGAGTTGATCAACACTATCATATTCTGCACATAAAGCCACAGCATCAACAAAGACTTTTGATCAAATCAAACCCAGCTTAGATCTGAGATAAAGAGACCAACATTCCTGGAGTCTTCTGTTTGAAGCACACAACAGAGTGGACAAAACATGTGATTTTTTTTTTATATTACAAATAACACATGTTCAATCAAAAAGCTTGAAAGAGAAGAGGATTTAAAGTTCTGAGTTTTATCTGGGGATAAAATGAAGTTTTTTTTTCTTTCCAGATAAATGTGACATTTGTAATGGACATTAGAATCAATTGTATCTCAGCTCAAAATTTTCATTTTATCTACTGATTAAAGTCAGACAGACTAGTTTGCAATCTGTTATAAACAAATCCCATCTTCATGAAACATAAAAAAATTGTTATGCATTTTCTCATTCAGCTTATTTGAAAATGTTTTTTCTAAAAATAAAATGATCCTGAACACAAAGACCAAATCTTTGGTCTGTAATTTGTTTCATTTCTATCTTTATATATAGAGTCAACGTTTTTAGTGTCTGTACTGATCCAAGCCCATTATATCTAGAACACATACACAAATATAGAATTTACAGCCAGCACCAAACTTTAAGGCAGAGGTTCTCAAACTGGGGTCCCAGGACCTTCAGAGGTCCACGAGAGGTATCTTGGGGGTCCTCAAAAAAAAATTCACTAAATTGTTATTTTGGTTTTTATTTTTAAAAATGTATGGAGAACAATGAACTAATAAAACAAACATAATTAACTAAATAAAAAATATATATTCCCATGGAATTTAGGGGTTGAAATGACAGGAAATTATCTTTTAAAACAGCACAGGGTTTCTAAGGGGGCCCCTGGAATTTTTCACCCTTGTAAGGGGTCCCCAGAGCCAATAAGTTTGAGAACCTCTGCTGTAAGGAAACTGGGACAGGGACGTGTTTACCATCGTGATCCTAAAGCTTCCTCTTAGTTCAACTTTTACCTTTTAACAACAAAATACATGTATGTGTGTGAGTGTGTGTGTTCTAGCATTTTTCCAAAGAAAAACTACCTTGTAGGGACCCACTGTATCTTATGGGGCCAAGGCTGGGCATCATAAGTTGAAGTGCTATTTTTGGGTTGGGGTTTAAGTTTAGGGTAAAGATCAGAGTTAGGCTATAGAAATGAATGAGACATGAACTCAAGTCAATGCAAAGTCCCTATAAAGATAGAAAGAAGCAGTATGTGTGTGTCTTGATACACTTATCTGTCACGTTAATCTGCTGACTGAATCCTCCAGAATATTACTTGAGAATTTTAAAACCTTTTGTGTTTTTTGTTGCCTTTGTCATTTTTTTTTGAGTATGTCGCCAGCATCAAATTTTTAATTAATTCTGTTTAAATGCAATGACACTTTATGAAGACAGAGGAAACCATTTTATTTGAACATGTTGAACATGTTTGAGGCTTTAATAAATAAGCAAATTACAGAAGTTTCATAGATTTTCAGCTTTGAAACAAATTGAAAAGAATAACAGAGAAACCCAACAAACCCGGCTCTGTAAGTGAAAATAACTCACTTACCTGGAGTTCAGTTGCATCTTCTCTGCTTCCCACTGGGCTTGCAGCCCCATGGTCTCCTTCAGTTTGTCCTTCAGCTGCTTCTCCAGCACTGACACCTCCACGCCACCGCAGGCGCTCTCTCCTGTTCCTCCGGCCTTAAAGTTCACACAAGCTCCGTGTAGCTGCAGCCGAACAGCGACGCACTCACTGCGCATGTCACACAGAGTTCTGTTGAAAACATACAGTAAATGTTATTAAACTTTTTGACATTTTGGTTTCATTCATGGGTTTTGAGCCAGTGGCTGAAAATGTGCTCATATTTTAAAAAGATGGATGACTTTAATGAATCAATCCTTTATTGGGGGAAATGTTGAAGTGTTGTCAAGTTCAGTACAGTTTCTGATCTGACAAATCTGTCCATATCAGCAATAACTAATACAGCAAACTGCTCCTCAGTTGTTATTGTAGTTCCATGTTAGAGTTTTTTCCTCGGGTCATGAGCTTTCTCTTGATGGATGATTTTAGCAGTGAATTCAGACACTTTGACCCATCTGTCCCCGCTGAGAGAACGATAAGCAGGAGGACCGGTAACCCTGATGACCTGCTCCACTTTGATCCTTCCATGAAAGATGTATAGTTGCTGCGGTCATGGGAGAGATCGGGGTTCTCGTGGTATCCTGTGTCGCCAGAGAATTTCCTGGCATTGTGCCTCACTCACCTGTCAGTGAAAGTTCTTAGCTGGGTGAAAGTGCTCCGCAGGGAGGCGGCCTGGCGCCACAGTGCTCTGAGACGAGCCTGTTCACGGCTCGACCGGGAGGCGCACGTCTGCAGACACGAGCACAAAACAGTCTGCTTTACAGAGGAGAGGAGAGGAGACTGAGGTTCTTCACAACAAACTGCATTTTATTGGGATCCCAAACAACACTCAAGAGCTTGAACTTCACTGATAAACATACAAATAATTGTATTTCCCTGAGTTCACAGATGTAGTCCATTTACACCATGAAAGCTGGGTTGTTTGCACAGAGTTCCTTTCACCTCAGCAGCTGCAGTGTTTTCACAGGAAACAACAATTAAAAAAAGAACAGGGAATGAGGGTGAATTCACAAAACTAGCTATGAATGGAATTCCTGCTCTGTGTGAACTCTACAAGAGTTTAATTGCAGTGTTACTGTGCAGAAAGGGACAAACTTGAGCTTTTCATGACTGCCATTCTGGTTTGAGTCTTTCGTGTGTGTGTTTTGTTCCCCACCTCTCGCTGTCTGCGCAGACAGTTACCGCGCAGCTCACTCTCCTGTCGGGCCCTCCATAAGCTCTCTGTGAGCTCCTTGTTGACAGTGGCAGATTGATCGAGTTGTTCCCGGAGGACAGAGTTCACTTGGCTGAGGCTGGCACTCCTGCGAAACACCAAGTTTTGTTCAAACTACGAAACGGTCTTGATGTTCTCCTCCTACAAAAGCTCCATAAAGCTAGAACATGGCTCGCACGCCTGCAGTACGCGGAGCCCACCCGTGCGTGGCACTTTTGCAATATGTGTTTTAATTTAGGTTTAGTGTGAGACATATGTGCTGGGAGTTATTTACAAAATGTTTACAACATCATTCTCTCCCTCAACACTCTGTTGTGATACAGTAAAACATGTCATCTGCTGGAGACACAGCCAAACCCACACTTGCCTGTGTGGGATGATTTCATGTTTAAAGAGAAGATGTGAAGAATAAAGTACTCAGTATTACCAACATGTAACTGTTAGATGTGCTTTTTTTTTCTTCAGTAACTTTCATTTCTGTGTGTGTGGACAGTGGGCATGAGAAACAAGTAAATATAAATTTTGGCAATAATTTTCTGATCCAAGTTTCTACAGTGGACTATTTCAAACACAAATGTCTGATGGTATAAATTATAGAGACAGGAATTGAGTCAGGTTTGATGTGAAGATCTATTAAATTGTTATGGGGGAAAACTCTTTAAGTTTTCCTCACAAATCGTATGCAGTGTTTATCTTCCAAAAGACAGGAGACTGAAGAAAAAAGGCTAAAAAAAACTAATTGTTTTCATGTAAAAGAAGCAGCACAAGTTTCTTTAAGTGTTTGACAAACTGCACAGCAAACTGACCTCCTCTGCTCCTCCTGCAGCTGAGCTGACTGTTTCTGGATAACCGTGTTCAGATCCTCTTCAGCATGCTTCTGCCGCTCAGCTGAGTCCAGGTGAGCCTGCATCTGACACCCCCAACACAGACATGCACAGATTATCATAATTATTATTTCATCTGGACATGAATTGACTGGCATTAATTCCTACAGCCTAACCCTGACCCTTTACCCTAAACCTAACCTCACAGGTACATACCTGACCCTAAACCTAACCTAAACTAATTCACACCTTAGTGCTGAACCTATGACGGCCTTTTTTCTCTTGTGTGGACCAGGCACACATACTCTTTTTCACGGATGGTATCACTAACAGTGAGATATGAGGCAGCAGAAGATGAGCCTTTCACTGACATTTGAGGATAATAATTACTGTGTAAATTATTAAGCTCTGCTCACTGCAGTCGACAAAGACAAGAATAATACTGGATCAACTTGCAGTATACGGTGCGTACCATTATTACCTACATGAAGTCTGTATTTTTCCATATTAAGCATTTCGTGAGGTAAATTTTATAGATTTTCCTGCTCTGAATGTCAAACCTCTTACATCAGGGGTTCCCAACCTTTTTAGACTTGTGTACCCCCTGAGCTATTTTGTCACACCACTAGAACCCCCTCTGTCAAATGTAATGATGATTCTCCAAAACTACAATGTACAACAACTGATTATTAAATTTAAATTATTTATTTAACCCTAGAACATTTAATTCTCAGGCATTTCATTCTTTTCAACACAAATTAAACATAAAGATAAATATGTTGTCTTGAAAGTGAATAAGTAATTAAATAAAGATTAAAGTGTACAGATATACAGGAAGCAGCATCCAAAACACATTGTATTGTCCAAAATACATCAGAAACTCACCCAAACAAGCAAATTCAGTGAGATTCCACGTTTTATACTGGATTTAATTTTGTTTTGTCAATTCCACAATTCTGTCTCAGGAATCATAGGGACTTATACATCCCAGTCCTATTTTTATTCATTTCTTAACACACCTGGGAAATTTTTCCACCTACCCCATGTAATATGCTCACGTACTACTATGGGTACACGTACCCCTGGTTGGGAACCACTGTCTTACATGACTGCTCCTCACTAATGTGTTAACTGTTACAAGTATTATATCATTTCATATTTTGATTTGGAAAAAATGAAAACTTAAGTAGCCGGTTTTAGACATATTAATGTATTAACTTTTATTATTTTAGGTTTGAGGAGCAAACCTGCCTTTCAGTTTATGTAGGAGGATCAGCTGACATTATTAATGTATAAAAACACTGATTTGTTAATGTTTAATGGATATCTGCACACACCAACAGTCTCGTCTTTTCACACTCTGACGTCTTCTCTAACACCTTCTCCTCCAGTTCTCCGCACCTCCTTTTATACCGAAGAACCTAAAATAAAGAACATCACAGGCAACAATCAGACAAATGCACTTCAGTGTCAGAACACTGAGATCAGTTTTAGCCACCTTCGTCTGTAACTTCAGAACAAGTTGGGCCTGTCGCTTCTGGGCCTCCTGGAAGACCTGCAGTTTTTGTCTGTAGTCTTTCTCTGTGTTCTGTAACAGCATGGATCCAGGTGGTACACTGTCCTGATCCAAGTCCACAGCTGACTGAGACATCATCTGATCCAGCTGGAACGAGTGATAAAGTTGCTTCAGTAAATTTTACTAAAAAAACAACAGCAAATTAAGAAAAGCATTGATTCATTTCTGTGCTCTTTTCAACCCTATTTCTTATCAGGATATTTCAGCCACTTCGATTAAAGTGTGGTTAGAGAATATATACGTAACCATCAATCAAGTGACAGGTGACACGCCCCCTTTTCGGGGGGGCGGGCGGGGGGAGGGGGGCATCCGTCATGTCCATATATGGTCAACTTCCGGTGACTTCCGTTCTCTTTTGATTGACCGTAAGTAACCCTAACCCCCCTTCACCCCTTCACCCCCCTTCACCCTGACTTATAGTAACCCTTCACCCACAACCTTTGACTTATAGTAACCTTAGATTTCATCAGATACCTT